GGGTGTGTCAGAGGCAGTGCGGTTGGCGCAGGATAGAGCAGGGTTTAGGGCTGTTGTGCATAGGGTCACTATGAGTCGCAAACGACTCGACGGCACATAACAACAACCACCTTTGGTTTGATAGTGCAACTCCCTCCCAACCAGGACACCATATTATAAAAATCATAAAATTATAAAAATAATTATAAAAATGTATTGTTGTTGCATGCCCTCAAGTTGACTATAACTCATAGCAACAGTATGAACAACAGATCTGAACTTAGAGCTGTCTTGTGATATCCTCATCATCTATAAAATACTTAAGCCCATTGCTATAGTCACTGTGCATTCTATCAGTCATCTTCTAGAGGGTCTTGCTCTCTCTTGATGTCCCTCCACCTTTCCCAGTATTATGTCTTTTTCCTAGGACAGGCCCCTCTTAACAATGTACCCAAAGTATATGAGGTAAAGTTTCACTGTCTTTGTCTCCACAGTTGCACTTTCACCAAGACATATTTGTTTGTTCTTTTGGTGGCTCAGGATATTCAGTACTCTTCTCCAACACCACATGCAAAGGCAACAACAAAATTCTCCTGTAATCTTTAATCATTGTTACACTAAGATCATGGCTTGGGTCAGCAAACCTTAGTTTTTAAATTGGCATCATTGCTCTTAACTACTTTAGATACGTCCTTGCCTTGGGAGTTTTATCAATGCAATACATCTTTTGGTTTGCTTGTTTTTGTTTTTTGTGGTTTTTTTTTTTTTTATGAAGGTGCCATGGATCTTTTGATTTTTTGACCAAGGTACCAAGGAATGTGGGCTATTTTGGATCCAAGTAAAATGAAATTAGTAACAGTTTCAATTGTTTCTCCATCTATTCTGATGCTCCCTATTGACCAAGAAGTGAAGATTTTGTTTTCTTGTTGGGGAGCTGTAATCGAAAATGAGGCTGTAGTCTTTCTCCTTCTACAGCAAGTGTCTTAAGTCCTCTTCACTTTCAGAAAGCAAAGTTATGTCATCTGCATAATGTAAGTTGGTGATGAGTCTTACCAATCCTGATGCTACGTGCTTCTTCATAAAGTCCAGCTTCAATGATTTGCTCAGCATACATATTAAATAAGTATGGAGAAAGATACAGATTTGATGCACACTTTTCATTCTTCTTAATGTTAGACATGGTTTGTTGTGATCCACACATTCAAATGCCTGTGCATAGTCAATCAAACATAGGCATACAACTTTCTGGTAGTTTCAGCCAGGATGCATCAGGGACATCAGCAATAATATCCTTGGTGCCACAGCCTTTTCTAAATCCAGCTTGAACTTTTAAGAGCTCTCTGTTGATGTACTATCATTCTAGTCAATAATAATATTTTGCTTACATGTGATATTGTTAATACTGTTAAATAATTTCTACATTCTGTTGGAGTACCTTTTTTAAGAGGGGGAATAAATATGAATCATTATTCTATCAGTTGGCCTGCTATCTTCCAGATTTCTGGTCACAGTCTGGTGAGTCCATCCAGAGTTGCATTTGTTTGCTGGAATACCTCAATTGGTATTCCACTAATTCCTCGGGCCTTATTTTTTTGCCAAAGACTTCAATGTAGTTTAAATTTCTTCTTTTATTACCATTGGTACTTATTCATATGCTACTTCCTGAAAAGTTTCTGTGTCAGCCAATCGTTTTTAGTACAGTGTCTCTGCGAATTCCTTCTAACTTCACTGACTGCAGCAATGGCTTCTAGTATGTCAGAGATGATGAAAATGGCACAGAATAGGAAAGGGTTCCGATCTTGTGTTTATAGGCTTGCTATGAGTCATACTCAACAGCACTTAACAACAGTGACAATTATCTCCCTTTTGCACGTAAGGAATCTAAGGTTCCAACCAAAATTCAAACCTTCTGCTGAAAAAGAAAGGAAATTAAGATCAAGATTAAATTAGTTCCCTTAGTCAAAATGTAGAGTAACAGTTAAAACTCAGGCCCACCTAGTTGTAAACCCCAGTATACTGGGTTTTTGACACCATTACTTTTTTTACCTAAAGAAAAGAACTACTATTGAATATAAACCATTATACACACTTTTTTTACTTTACTATTGTTTTCTTTCATGGATATAGATAAGCTTTAAAATATGTAAGATATGTAATATAACATGATAAAAACCTGGCCTAGTGCTAAAGAGTTGACTGCTAACCTGAAGGCATGCGGTTCGAAGCCACCAGCCACGCTGCAGGAGAAAGATGGGCAAACTCCTCCTGCTCAATTTATTGACTGTAAAAGCCCACTGGAGGGTCAGCTATGGTTCAGTTCCTGCTCAACAGTAACAACAACAACATGACAAGTCACTAGATATCAATTCAAGTGCAAGCTTTTAATGCATGGACACACTTTAATTTACCTAAAATAAACATGCTGGAAAGTCACCAGTGGTTTAAAAAAAAATCATGTACCAGATACAGTACAAATCCCCATCCAAAAGAAGTGCTTATTTCTGTTTTATAAAATGCAAGCACAATTTCAAAATATTTCAGTTACCTGGTAGTCCTCTGGACTAAACGCTGTCAAAGAAACAGTTCTAAATTCCACCACAACTCTTCCCAGGAGTCCTTGTGCACGGACCACCAATAACTGGATTTCACCATCTTCCTCCTGTACTGTGACATGTGGAACACTGCTAGCAGGCCGGGTCATTGCGTCCTCGGGTTGGGGAGGCAGTCCTGTGGAGAACTGCAGCAAGCCTGATGGACACAATCAAATGTTATCCTCAGTTTCCCATGGAAAATATTCTTTACTCATTTGAAACTGTCTTGTTAGGTTATTTTTATTATCAGGCTAAAATTCCGAGGGCATTCACTTAAGAAAAGACGTTAGCAAAGATATGCTTACTATAGATTTTACACGGAATATGTTTTTATAGCCTGAAGAATATTAAAAATCATTAGCTATCTTTCTCTTTACTCCCAAAAAGGCTCTTTACATTTTGTACATGTATGACAGCACCTAGTTTCCATAAAATTAATATGCTGGAAAGTCATCAGTGATTATTTTTTCTCTAGATAAACTTAGAGGTTACTAAACTAATTGCAATGAGATTGTGAAATAAACATTTTCAAACATTTACACAATTTGATTCTCTAGAAGTCATCCTTAAACTTACAGTATAATCTAATTAATGACAAAGAAATTTCTAGAACACTTTTTTAATTATTTAACTCTGAAAAGCAGAGCTGTAGAGCATTCCAAGTTTCCTACCTTGTCCTTTTAACAAATGTTTTCCTGATTTATCCTCAGAGAAACAATTCATTTTCATTAAGAAAATATTCTTAATTAATTAGGCTAGACATTTACAGTAGTTCACAAATTAATATTTATCACTTTCAGCATAAGAAAAAAATATGTTAACATAAATATACATAAAGCTGGACATTTTGCACCTTCTTCTTGTTATGAGCCATCAAGTCAAGTACAACTCTTAGTGACCCTATGAACAAAAGATCTGAACCCTGTCCTGTCTTGTGCCAACATCACAATCTCTAACACACTCAAGCCCACTGCTGTAGTCACTGTGTCAATTTATCTCATTGGGGGTCTTCCACTTTTTCACCGATTTTCCATGTTTCCAAGCATTATTTCCTTCTCCAAGGAATAACCTCTTCTAACAACACGCTCAAAATTTGTATGACAAGGCTTTGCATTTGAAACCTGCTGTTATGTGCCATCGAGATGCCTGTGAGTCATAACACCGTATGTACAAGAGTTCTGTGCTACCTTGAGCCAATCTCACTGTCTCTGACACATCTACCTCCATTATCCTGGTTATTGTGTCAACCCATCTCATCTAGGGTTTTCCTTTCCTGCGCTGTCTCTCTACTCTTCCAAGCATGATGTCCTTCTTTGAGGACTGGCCTCTCCAAGTAACATGTCCAAAATATGTGAGACTGACAGCAGACATTCTCAGTGCAATTCATCTTTTAATTTCATGGCTTTAGGCACCAAGAGTGTTGACTGGGGAGCCAAACAAACTAAAGCTGTTAACAATTTCAATCTCTTGACCAAATATCACGATGATGCCAATCAGCCCAGTGGTGAGAATCTTTGTTTCCTTGATGTTGAGCTTCAGTCCATATTGAAGGCTGCAGTCCTTGACCTTCTGCAGAAAGTGCTTCAGGTCCTCCTCAGTTTCAGCAAGCAGGATTGCATCATCTGCATAATGCAGATTGTTGATGAGTCTTCCTCCAATCCTGATGCCACATTCCTCCTCATATAACCCAGCCTCCCAGATGATATGTTCTGCATAGAGATTGAAAAGGTATAGAGATAGGATTCATCTCTGATGTATACCCTTCCCAATTTTGATCTATGCAGTGTTTCCTTGCTCTGTTCTGACGACTGCCTCCTGGTCCACATATAGATTTGACATAAGCACAATCAAGTGTTCTAGGACTCTCATTGTTCTCAGAGTTAGCCACAGTTTGTTGTGATCCACACAGTTAAATACCTTTACATAGTCAATGAAAAAACAGACATTCTTCTGATACTCTTCTTTGTTTGCATGTGATATTAATGATATTGCTTGATAGTTTCCACATTCAAATGGATAACAGTTCTTGGGAACAGGAACAAGTATCGACCACTTCCAATCTGTTTGCCAGATAGCTAGCTATGTAGAGGAATGTGACTTATTAAGTGATACCTTAGTCATTAAAGGCCAGAGAATCTATAAGTTCCAAAATAAATGTCTCTTAAGGGAGCTCAGTAGTTTAATGGTAAAGAATTATGTTGCTACCACATAGGTATGCAGTTCAAATCCACCAGCTGCTCCAAGGGAGAAAGAGAGACAGTCACCTCCTGAGTGATTAACTGTCTCTGAAAACCTACTGGAGGGTCATCTATAGGTCAAGTCCAACTCTATGTACACAACAACAATAATGATTTTCTTTTTTATAATTAATCCAACTTGACCCAGAGAACAGGATTATGGATTAGTTAAAACGTAAAATGGGTTAGTTACCATATGGATGATTACTAGCTTTGATGGTGATATCTGTTGTTTCCTTCTCAGGGTCAATGCTCGCACCACTGGTGGGAGTTGAACCAAGTTTTCCATCTCCAGAAACTGCAGATACCAATGTTACACGAAAATATTCATTGAGCTCGGGAATATCATCATCAAGAACATATATATTCAGGACCTAGAAATGCAAAATTTCAGAGGCATTAAGCAATGAGGCATGTAAAACTACATAACAGAGGAAAATAAAACAACAAACAAGATTCAACTGAAGCAATTATTTAACAATTCTTCATGCATGAACTTAAACACTGAAAATGTATGTATGTATGTGTACATGTACACATTTCCAGTTTACTCTCACTTACACTATAGAAAACACACATGTACAATTTCCAGACTAATGTGAAGCTCAATTTTTTATGCAATTTCAGTGTATTTATATTTTAGTGTATATGGACTGTCAAAATGATAAACCTCTCCTAGAGGAAGTGTAACCAGTACACCACTTAGGACCATGGATGGTAGAACGTCATCTCACTTTGGGCATATTGTCAGGAATCACAGATTCTTAGAAAAAGACATTATACTGGGAAAAGTGTAAGGTCAGCAAAAAGAGGGGAAAACCTTCAATGAGATAGGCTGACAGAGTGAATTCAACAATGAGACATAAATTGTGAGGACAGATTTCAATCTATTATTCATAAGGCCACTATAGTCATAGTTAACACGATGGCACCTAAGAATACCAACATTCCCATGATATCTGTAAGGCAATAGCAAAGTGAAGGCTTTACAGTCACTACTTGTGCTCGTAAATACATGGTACCACATTAGCAAACACTTCATATGCAGTCACTGAATTTTAAAAAACAAGGAAATGCGTGCAGGTCGTGTATAGTGGGGTAGGGACAGTGGTGCCATAAGGGCTAAAAATTGAAGGGCTGACTTCCTGATAAGTGGATAATGGCTAAATGATGTGATTCTACAGGAAACAGTTCTGAAAGATCTACAATCCAGATTTTAGATAAGGGAGTGCATTCCTGAAGACCATGAAAATCGTAACAGATTGACTGTCCAGTTCTCTGACTGCAGCAGAGACAGAAGGATCTCTGACAGATCCATTTTTTAGTGTTGTTTAGGAGTTCTTTCTGAAGGCCCAGCCTAGTACCAGTCCTTCTACTAATTTTATGAGAATAATAAAATTTTCTATATTAAATCTTCCCTTTTATTTCTTTTAAAATAATTAGTGCCCTTTATCTATAGAGAATTTGGATAATATGTTAAAGGAAACAGACATAAATCCCAAAGGTTCACAAACCTTATTGTTAGTAAAACCAAACCTGTCTACATACCAATTTTATAGGACATATCACCTTCACTTGGGAAACATTACCATAAAACTTAAGAGACACTGGTCACAGCATAAGAAACTATCAGCAGCTAACATGTTTGGAATCACAGAACCCAAGGAAGCTTCCGATATAAGCTATCAGATCAAGGGCTGGACAATGGGAGGTCGATGTTGAAGGTAGTGGGTAGAACTGGATGGGTATCCTGG